ATTGACTTCAATGGGAAGTAAGCACATGTTTGAAGTTAAAAACATGCTGAAGTCCTTAGCTGAATCAGGGTACATTCCTGAGTAATAATAAGTGTATCAATAGTAATGAAATCATCATAAAATTTGCAATATAAAAGCTAACATATTAAAAAGCTAAATAGAGTGTCATCACTGTAAAAACGGTGCTAGGAAGTAGTTTTAACAGTGATTTGAGCAGTGATTTTTAAAATGCAAACATGTCCGAAAGAGAACATAAATGAGACTCAAGGATGGGGGTCTTAAAGTCAGCTTTCTTTTGAATAAACTACTCTTTGGACTGAAATGTGTTTATCTTCAGCCTGTAGGAAAAGTTTATTAGAAAAGGTTTAAGATAATCCATTCAGCTACATTTCAGTTTTTTAAATGATGTTTTTCACTATATTATTACATTCCTTTTCTCTCTGAGATAATTCGAACAGGCATAGTTTTGCTTGAAATATTCAAAATTTGGCACATTCATAGTCCCCTGAAGAATGAAGAGTCTGCCAAGTTTGAAAACATTTGGATTAGAAATGAATAAAAACTTGCATGCTTTGCTTGCTCAGTACATGATATTTACTCATTTATTAGCAATGTGCTGGTGCTTAGCTTGAATTGTATAGTATGCTAAGTCTGTGCAATGAAATAAATATCTGCACTTATTCCAGTGATCACATAATCAAGTATTTGAACCCACAAACGTGAGAACATTGAAATAGGGGTGCTAAAAGTTCTGTTTTCTTTCCTCCCTCAACATCCACCCCTTATAAAGAAATTAAATACAAAGTTTTATATACACAAATATGTATGGTGTTATAGGTAGGTTTCCAAAGCAACAGTAATTCAGCCATCTTATACATACATTATAATACAGAGAAGTTATTGCCACTTATGATACAGTAATAGAAAATATAAATATGCAAGTGGACAGATTTTGCTAACTTAGAATTTCCTAACTTGCATGCAGGTAAGTTCTGAGCTGTAATACTGATTTAGTCTAGATTAAAACTTGTTCATAGCCATAAAACGTACTTTCTTGTCATCATTGCTACTCCAGCCCCCCTTTTTGGAATTTAGATTACATTTTTTTTAACAGATTTTATTTTACATGGGCTAGAGCAGGCTTTTAGATGGGTAAGATTTGTCTACAACTCCATTCAGATTGTAAGTGTTGGATTAAATGAACCCCAAACTCCACATCAATGAGCTTGTGAAATTCATCTCTGTGTAGAGGATAAGCATATGTTTTTGTGATTTAACAGTACATTGATAGGCCTTTGGACTCTGGATCTCCGCATAGAGATGAAATTCCACTTAAAATGAGCAGAAAGACTATGAGTTAACCCCCGTTTTGAAATATGGCATATTCCTAAAATATTCAGAACTTGAAAAATAAATCAAAACTTTATACATTTATCTCTAGGTCTGAAGGGACATGCAAAATTGGGGGTTCAGACAACTGGAAGCTACAGCCTGCAGAGTCCTTCTGTAGAGCATTACTGAAGCTCTGAGCTTAGCCTATACCTTTATGGAGTTTAATAGTTGAAAGAAACTAAAGTGCAGGAAGCTTGTGTTGATGCATCAATTTGATTTTTGTATTTTTTAATTAGAAAGTATTAACAAGTTTAGAAATCCCTGCCATGTAATGATTATTAGTTTCTTTTTTACATAGACAACAGTGTGCTTTTGTTTAAAGCCAATACATAGGAATATAATAATCAGATCTTTCTGTCTATTGGGGTGTTACCATATTGTAGATTGAGCATCATTTCAACACCCAGGGGCGGATATAGGGCAGGGCGAACGGGGCGGCCGCCCCGGGCCCCGCGCTTCAAAAAGCCCCACGCATGCGCCGGGGCGCCACCGCGCATGCACATGGCGTCACTGCGCATGCGCCGTGGCAAAGGGGGGGCCCCGCGGAATTATGCTGCCTGGGGCCCCGCGAAACGGTCATCTGCCCCTGTCAACACCTATGACATGTCATTAGTAATGTTTTTATTAAATTGAGTGAAAATTCTGATTGCATGTGTTTATCAAGCCAAGAGAACTCTTCAGGACACTCTTTATCTCCTTCTTGCCTTGTGTACTTTAACAGCACACAGGTAATCTTGGGGACTGTAACTGAACTTTTGATTAACTTTGAGTTTTGGTCAACTGTTAAGTGTACGTCTACAATGGAGCTGGGAGCATGCCTCCTTGCTTGGGTAGACAGACTTGTGCTGGCATCACTAGCTAGTGCATTAAAAATAGAAGTGTAGATGTGCCACGTGCCTGTGAGCTTGGGCTAGCCACCCAAGCGTGGACTCAGGGAGTCAAGCGGGCTTAGAATGGGTGGCTAATCCAAGCCACTGCCCATGCAGCAATACTCATGACCACACTGCTGTTTTTAGCATGCTACCTCCAACAAAACGGGCGCGAGTCTGTCTACCTAACTCCAGTGTATGCAGAAAATCTTTAGTTATCTTGATTGATTAGTTTACCTGTGTATTCTCTAACTCAGCATGAATGCATTTCATTTCCTTGTCGTCTCTCTTTCAGAGCCTAACACCCTGCTCCTGTCATCAGTGATAAGGCTGCGCTGCACAACTCTTTACTCTCTCCTTCTTAACCCAACCTTCCAGAAGAGCAATAGCTACAGGAGGCCCCCAACTTGTGATTTGGTTCTGGGAGAAGTGTCGCAAGTCGGGGGCATTGTAACCTAAACCCTCATTTACAATAGGCACTGTGCGCATGTGTAAATGTGGACCGAGGACATAAGTCGGGGGGTTTCGGCCCCTTCCACACTTACAAAAATGGTTGTAAGTGTGGGGGGAAGGGGGTTGGAACTCGGGCAGTTTCAAGTCGGGGGCCTCCTGTATTAGCAATCCTCCAAGTCACACTGACAGGGAATACCAAAATGCCTATCAAGAAATTGGGGAACAAGCCTTGATAGTTAGTCATATTGCCTCCCACATTCATCCCTGTTAGCTGAAACATACCATTTCTCTGTAAGAAATGTTAGCAAGACTTGTGAGATGACATCACTGACTTGTCACCTAATCTGTATTCTTCACCTGACACAAAACAAGTTTGTGGGGTTAATTTAAAAACAAACAAGCCACAATTTTCACTGTCCCTAAATATAGCATGTATTTTAACATCTCTGAAATGATTGAGTCTATTAAAACGATTAAAACCACAATCTTAGTATCTATCAAAATTGAGCTCAACTCTTGTAAACAGTACATGCAGACATTCTGCATACATATGTGGAGTGATTCAGTGGATCCTTTCTTTGGATCTATTGGTTGTTCTATACCAGAGGCATTTAAAAGTGTAATCCATGTTGCTAAAGAAGAGGGATTTCAAGTCTTATTTAGCTGATGAGTTAAAATCTTGATTTTTCGGTTAATAAGATTTTTCGGTAATAAATGGAAAAACTACTTAATTATGATTGATAAAGGTGACAAAAATACAATTATAAAAGATATAAAGGTGGTCAGTGTCTTAATAAAAATGTAACATGGAATTTTCTAAAGCTCCCAGCATTGGCTTCTCTGCTTTCACTGTAGTCAGAAAGAATTTTACCATTTACTTCAGTGAGAGCAATGTTAGGCACTTAGGATACGTCTACACAGTGCAGCTATTTCAGGATACCGGAGGTACCCCACATCTTAATAAGCTGCCCATTATTTCAAAATACTTTTTTTGAAAAGTATTTGAAAAGCGCACTATTTCGGCATCCCTGGAACCCTTGTCCCATGAGGGTTTAGGGATGTCTCAAAATAGTACATTATTTCGAAATTTGGCACTGTGTAGATGTGCCATATTTCAAAATAAGCTATTTCAAAATAGAATTGAAATAAGACAAACAATTTGTGTAGCACAAATTGTGTCTCTTATTTCGACTGTAGGGTGCTGTGTAGATGCACCCTTACTGTCTCTATGGTGTCAGCTTGTATGCTGGGAATTTCCCCATTAGGAGTAAGCAACTCTTGGAGGAATGGGGAAATGTAACAATTCTGTGAAGTTATGTAAAGATGTTATAACAACCAGATTCTGGCCCCATCTTAATATCAGGTGCAATCAAGGTCATTGCAGGAGGTCCCACATGTTCTCAAAGGAATGAATCTTATATCACTCTAACCAGGATGCCCCCATAGTGTTGTTTTTCCCAAATGGATCTGCACCGTTGCAGATTTATTGGCCAAATTCCTCCCTCTCTCTGCAATGCTACAGGGAGAATTTCCTGTTGCTGTAAGTGGTCTAAGTACCACTATATGGGACAGTGAACTACACTAGATGTGTGGGTTACAGAAACACAAGTTCTCCTGTGATCTCTCCATAGCCTGTTTCATGCCTTGTCTTTTGCAGCAGTTACAGTGGTTCTCCTGTGTTTAGGGTCTATAGTGCTTGCAGAGCAGGATGTTGAATTTGAACCCATGAACAGATATTTTTTTTAAAGCCACAGAGTAACTCCTAGGAGATGTATTTGGAAGGAAATATTATAAGACAGGGCCAGATCCTTCCATCTTTACTCACATTGGACTAACACCTTACTTTGTGATTAGTCCCATTGAAATCAAGGGGACCCCTACTTGATTAAGGTAGAAATCAAGGACAGCAGAAATCTCACCTAGGAAAATAATTAGCCATCTCCTTTTTACCTGTTCAACATGATGAATTACTGTACTTTGTCGCCATACTAATTTTATCATGCCTTATTTTATGCCTAATGGGAAATGTGTTACTTGGAAGCTGAGCTTATAAAGTATTGACTGCTTTCAACTTCCACTGATATTTTCGTTAGATATAAATTAATATTAACTGTTTTTAAAATCCAAGAGTAGTTGAAGAAATATCTTCTTTATATAAATCACAATATTAAAGTCCTAGAGAAAATGTTGTCAGCTGACACATTTAATCTCTGGTCACTAGTGATTATATTGGGATTTATGTGGGAATCCTTTCTTACCAGTTCCTCGGGCACATTTTAATTCATCATTGGGATGAGAAGAAGGGGACGGAAGTGTGTGAAATGAAGGGCCCTTTCTATTTGCATTAGCTTTTTGTACAGTAGACACTATATGCTGATGATACAAGAAAAATATTCTGTTAAAAATTTACTACAGCAAATGAATACTTTTCATAATTCTTTTCTGTTTCACAGTCCACTATTGGAATTACTTTATTTTATTGGACCGCTGTTGCTACCCAGGTGATAAGGCTTATACCCCAGTAGATGTTACTGTTAAACTGTACAGCACCCAAAAATGCACTAAGCTGTTGAGATTATATGATCCCATGATAAAGAATTTACAGTCTGATTTTAGACACAGTACAATTACTGAAACTTTAAAAAAGGGGGAAATATAATGACAAGTTTTATACTCTAGTAATATGATCATGTAATACCTCAGTTTTTAGCATGTACACATCTTGAAGATTCTGTAACACATATAACTTAGAAAACAAAGTATCTTATAAGTGACATGAAAGAAATGTGTGTGTGTGTGTGGGGGGCGCAGTTAGGAGGGATTTGAAGGAAGGAAGTGTGGTACTATTTTATACACCCGTGATTGCATGTAAAAAGGGCTAGTAGAGGAAACTGAGAAATGGGGTTGAGACTGATGCTGATGGTAGTAAAAACTGGTCAGACCTTCTCTTGTGCAGAGCTCCATGGAAGTCAGTGTAGCTGGGAAGCACAGTGTTCTGCTTACATGGACTAACTGGGAGAATTTTATAATGGGGGTGCTGCTGATGGAAACCATGTATTTTATTTGGTGCTTGTCATGACTATTTCATGTTACGAGATATGGTAGCACCTCTAGTTCCAGCACCACTGATGGGATCTGCAGTATAAGCTAGGGCAGAGTTGTAAAAACAAATTTAAAATTTATATTCTGGGTAAGGAGGAGATTTCATTCAGTCATGTTGGTTATTGGCATCTTCAGAGCTTGGCCCTTTGCCCCTGCCATTCCCACTCAGAGGTCCTGCAGTGTCAGCATACAACAAAGATAGTGTATTGATTTTTAACATTCATAAAACAACAGTTATCAACTTTGGGGAAAACTTTTTAAAAAACATTTTTATATAGCTCCAGTAGTGTGATGTGTGAGAGGTACAGGTACAAAGACACAGGGTGAAATCCTGGGCCCATTGAGATGAATGGCAAAACTCTACTTAAATGGATAATTTAAGACAAACTTTATAGGTCAAATTCACACTCCAGCTCCAGCAGACATTATAGTTGTGTCAGAATGTTTGGAAGTTTTGCAGTGAGGAGAGATGTTTATTGTGGCCTAGACTGACATCAATCAGTGCTCCAGAAGAGTGGGAGCATCCACATTTTATGGTTAACTAGAGTAAAATGACAGAAAACATGTTTCTTTTCATTCAGAAAATGCCCTTTTTTAATGCTCACATCTCATTCTTTCCCATCTCAACAGGAGCGTAACCCACAGTCAATGAAGCTGGCTGAATGTGCATGCCCTGTACATTAAGACTGAATTCTAAAATTTAAACCAAAGCAGCATAATACAGATCACTAATCAGGGAGCAAGTGAAAAGTATAAATTCTTTCTCCAAAGAAACATAACAAGGATATTATGGTTCTGGTTTCAAAGTATCAACTCAGTCTCTTCAGCATTTCTGGCCAGGTAGCTTGAATTTATGGGTATGCCTACAGTGAATAAACACATTGATTCCACGTGACCAGAGCTGTCCTTTCCCATACACAGAATATGCAGCTGTGTAGGGCATGCAAAAATTTGGGGCACCACTGGTTCTTAATGTCTAGTCATCTGCCTCTTTCTATCCCTGTTCTGTGGCTTAGCGTCTTCTGGAAATTATTTTGTTAACTTAAAAGTGAAAAAAGCCTGCCAGAGCTAGTAACAGAACATGGAACCTTTGAAAGAGCCATTCAAGTGATAATGAAGCTATTTAACAGGCATCTGCCATCTCCAGGTATATGCGGTCAGTTTCTGAATGGACTGTTAGTTAATAGTACCTTAGTTTTAAAAATATTTTATTAGTGTCTGACCTTTTCCCTCTGTCCACTGCCATTGGCGCATAGACACTCTAGTTTTAACAGAATTGCACAGGGTCTCATAAATTCTAAGAGCAGCCCTGCACAGGACCACATATACACCAGAAGAATGGCACTTTGTTAACATTTTAGCAAGACCAGAAGTGTCAATAACTGAGGTAGGAACAGTCAGGACTAGAGATCAGAACAGTGACAATCATGCTATGAGTCAGCAGTCCGATCAGGGTTCAAGACAAATGTCAAGCCAGAATCAGGAACCAAACAAAGAACAGAGCTAAAGTAGACTGGGATAGGACAGGAACGTGACAGACACATGAGCAATCATGTCTGCAGGCACAAGTGTTGGTCAGCCAGAGAACGTCTACACAGCACCCTAAACTCGAAATAAGATACGCAATTCGTACTAAGCAAATTGCGTATCTTATTTCAAATGTATTTCAAAATAGCTTATTTTGAAATGTGGCATGTCTACACAGCGCCAAATTTCAAAATAACATGCTATTCGAGATCCCTTAACTCTTGTGGAATGAGGGTTACCAGGATACCGAAATAGTGCGCCTGTTATTTTGAAAAATATTTGGAAATAACAGGTGGCTTGTGTAGACGCAGGGTAGCTATTTTGGGATACTGGAGGTGCAGGATAGCCGTGCAGTGTAGAGTTACCCCCGCTGACCTGATGCTGAGCTTAAAAAAGCAGGCAAACTGTTCTTGTCATTCAGTCAAGGGAGCTGGCCCAACAGGCGGTTCTGCTGTTGCTCAGCTGTGTTAATTAGTCTACCTGGGGATTGAGGTAACTAGTTCCAGACTTACCAGTAAACCCTCATTCCATCTTGACAAATGGTTAATTGATTGATAAATATTATTTCCTCTGTACCATGACTCTCCATTTAATATTGCTAGCTTGACTGAATTGCAAAAGTGAATAGACTACTTTAGTGCTCCACCTACAATAAGTGATGAGTAATTTCTACAATCTTTGTAGTATTCCACTTGTGAATATGTGTATCTTTAAAGTTACTGAGTCCTAATAGAACTTGTAACTTAAAGGTGTGGAGCATATGTGATGATGATACTGAGTCAACAGTTTTAGTGCAAGTACTTTAAAATAAAATAATATCAATCTGAAATTCTTAATAGAGTTTATACTGTCTTTTCCTCTGTTCATCCTCTTTGCCATTCCCATTCTGTCTCCCACTCCCCAGTTTGTTCCCCTGTTCGTCATTATCTACTATATAGTTGAGAGAGTTTGTCTGTTGTTCAAGAACTCCTCCTAAACAGTAAGCGTTAGGACCATCACATTCAGTATATAGTTTCCTTTTATAGTAACTTAAAGCAAGGTGAGGGTTTGATTGTGCCAGGAAAATGGAACGTACCTTAAATAGGCTTGCTTCTCATAAAACAATACAGAAAAAAGACAGAGTCACTAGGCAGGTGAAAGGGGCTGACTGAGGAACCCCCCCATACAGGGGACTGCTCCAGCCCTGAGCCTCCAACCATCCAGATACTCTTTGGTGGTGGTGGTGGGGAAGGCTGAAGCATCCCCCCAGATTCTAACATTGGCATTGCTGGATGTTCCCCTTCATCAGGGAGTCAGGGGAAGTTCATAGTTTGCTGCATGCCTCACTCTGGCTGGGGAGTGCCAGGGGGCAGACAAGCACTTTGTTCTTGCTTCCTGACAGGGACAGGAAGGAGAAGAGCAAGCAGCCTTGGTATGAATCTTGGGAGTGAGAGGGCTTTGCCCCTCTACCCACAGAGTCCCCTAACCAGAGCCCCTCCTCACATCCCCAGCCTCCTGCCCTGAGCCCCTCTTTAAGGACCTGAGCAGAGCTAGACAAAGAATGCCTGTTTTAGAGAGAAAAAATACTTTTATTTTCCCCATATTTAGGGACTTAATTTGTTGTGTAACTTGCTGTTTTTGTTCTAGCAGAAAGGGGGAACTGTGCATCAAAACAGATTAAAAATAAATAAAATACATTCTCAATGTTGCAAAGGAGGAAGTAAGAAGTTTTCAACAAGAACCTCTCAAAACAGATAAGATTGTATACATATGTGTCTAGAAATACCTTTTGTGAAAATACAGAATTACTTTTGTAGAAGAACAAAGTTTGCATCTGTTCTTCTAGTTAATTTAACTATTTTAATCTGCTCTCTCTTTAGCATGATAAATGCTTTAGCTCTTCAACTGCTTTAGATAAGGAAGTTTTTAAGTTGTTTTTTCCTTCCTATGCCCCTTCCTCTGTGTGGGCAGAAACTGATGTTTTGCAGACACTGTGAGACCATAGCAGTCCCTACCAGTGATATTTGCATTTCTTATTTTGCTGGGGGATTATTCCCACACCAAAGGTCTTTGGGTTTTTCAGAACCAAGTTAAATTTCCAGCCTGCAAATGGAGAACCAGAGCCTTAGTTAGTGAAATTAGTGCTGTTTTGTTGACTGCAGTAGCATTTCACTTTTTTGATGCTAGTTGAACATCTGCTCTGCAGCTTTAATTATTAATGATCTTCCAAACCTGGTTCTGTATTAAAAATTATCTTTCCCCTGATTCATACTCAGTGAAACTACTCACATGTAGAAAGCTAAGAACATACAGAATGGTTTGTAGTATCAGGGCCGAAATCCAAATTGCTCTAGAAAGAAGAATGTCTTTAGATCCGTAAATTGTATTTAATCCATCTATTGTTAAAACTTCAAGTATTATTAAAATGAGAATAGTCATCTCAAATAAGAAATTCCAGTTGCAGATATGTCAGCATGGTTTTGTGGAAAGCACTGTATTCAACATATATAATTAAAAAAAAAGACACCATCCCCTTTTACCTAACTTTGTAGTCATTCAAAAAAATCTATATTAAAGTCCCTTTGGCTCATCAATTCATTTATCATCTTCTAAAACCAATTACAATTCTTTTAATTCTGGGTAAGTGGCTATTCCACAATTAAAAGAAAAAAGCCATTTAAAATATGCCTACATATCTTATAAAAGCAGTGAACCAAAATATTAATCACTGATTTCATCTTTATTTTAATCTTTTTTGGCAATTTTTGTATTGCAAAACCAATGCTTCAAACTTCACCTGAACACCTCACTAAATATCATTGTCTGGATATTAACAATGGGACAGTTCATAGCAGCGTTGTAGGATTAGGGTGGAAGAGATTTTAAAAACTGCTGTATATGCTATCTTTTGTCAGTAAAAACACATGGAAGGGAATCCTACTTTTCCCAGTCTGACGCTATATTTTCTCAAATCTTTGTAGCTTCTTTACCCACTAAAGATACTTCTAATGATAGAACCACTAACGGCTGAGGGTTTTTTTTTGCATATGAATACAATCCACAGGAATATAATGGCCTTATCCTGTGCCTCTCAGCTCTTCTGTGCGCCTGGCAGCAGTTCAATGCCTGCTCTTATTATACCCCCATTGGCTGTGTCTTGCGATTAGCACTATTTTCGGTTACCTTAAAAAGCATTAGGTTCATTGCAGAACTCCAGATAAATATTTACAATGGTCAACCAACCCCATGCTAGTCACTGGGTAGGGTTTTTTTTCCATAAAATTTCATGTGTAACTAATGCCAAAACTGCAGAGGGAGAGAATTTCTATTACTTCAAATATCTTGGCTATTGAATTATGCTGCAGCTACAAGCAGTGGCATGGGAACAATTTTTGGAGTAGGGGATGCCGAGTCATGTTCCTCACAGCCCTTTAGAGCTAGGGCTGTCAGATGGGACCCCATGTGTGAGGCTAGTTGCCAGGCGGGACCCTGTGCCTGCACCACAGCGCCAAGGCCAGCAGCTTAGTGGGACCCAGAACTGGCTGCCGAGACCATTTCACAGGCATGGCCACAGAGTGGGACCTGGGGCTGGTGGGTAAGCCGTGTGTGCAGGGATTGCAGCCAAGTGAGAGCTGAGGCTGGCAGTGGAGTCCCTGTGTGCAGGGATGGCAGCTGAGTAGGATCTGGGGCTGAAAGCAGAGTCCTTGGGCTGGAAACAGAGTCCCTGGAGAACAGCGGGCCTGGCAGCCAAGACCCTGAGCAGCAGAGCATGTGGACAGCAAGCCGAACACCTGGGGGTGCTGCAACACCCCAGTGCCCCTGCTTTCTGCACCTTTGGTTACAAGGTGAATGAGGAGGGCATAGCAACTATTTTCCATTTTTGCTCCAGATTCCCTTTCCACAAGCAGTCTATGACTTTGTTCCTCTCTGCACATGCAGTAAAATAGGACAATAGTCCAATTAAGCAACAGCCAATTGTCCTGTATTATCACAAAGCTTAATTGCTTCCATTGGGGATATCCCAATATAGTAGTCATGATTAAGTGCATCCCAACAGAATACTGAATGGGGTCAGAGAAGGAACAGTGTGAGGATTGAGGGTGTGGTTTTTTGCTATGCCAGAATTACACCTTGAGGTAAAAGAGACAAGGTTATGATGCATCTGACTAAGTGGGTCTTTGTCCAGAGAAGCTTAACCTCAAATAAATGTTAGTCGTTAAAGTGCCACAGGACTCCAAGTTGTTCTGGAGATACAGACTAACACAACTACCCCTCTGAAGGTGGTGATGGTAACTTTTATTTGACCACCTTCACTTTCTAATATCCTGGGACGAATATGCAATCAGTGATACAACAGTGCATGCGTATTGAAGTAATTCATTTGGTTTGTAGCCCTACATGTTGTGCTGGCTTACTTGGATTTTGTATTTGTGGAGGTGTCATTTTTACTTAAGATAATTTATGCTCTACATTAATTGCAAAACAATAATTAGAACATGTAATGTGTGGCTTCTGACTTGTATGGTTAAAAAGGTTGTGCCTTTTCACCTGCTCTTCAGTACTTTTTAACGTAAGAGCAAAAAGGAGGAAGAACGGAGATGCAGTTAGCACCTCCTCTGCTTCTCTCTGGGGCAGTGGTTTTCAACCCCTGGTCTTTCCCTTGGGGAAATGGGTGTCTACAGGAGGTTTAAGGGGGTCTGTGAAACG